TAGAGGCTCCATAGTGAGAGAGGAGTGTACAGCGAGCCCCCAAATGCTTGAATCACTACACAGGCATGGAGTGCCCTCATCCAGTACCCTGGCTCAGCTGACTGCTAAACAAGCTCTGGGAACACAGATTTTTCTGAAGCTGGTTACGAACTCCAGTAAATTCTTTACCAGGGCTGATACCGTTTGACACTCAGGGTTTCCAGATGAGACACACTGTGTGATGACCTTCCCACAGCACTCTGTGGTCAGAGCGCAGTGCTGAAACTGTTCCAAGTGAGGTGGAACAGCTACATGTGCTTCGCTTAATTTGATACAAACATGTTCCATCTTGTCTCGCCTTGCACTGCAGGATGGCAAAGCCACCCAAAAGCACTTTATATTTTAGTCCTGATCCTGGCAACACTACACAGCCAGTAGAGGTTGTTTATTTTAAATATACTGGAGCTTAGGATATATACACACCAAATAGTGCATTTTGCCAAACACGGCTTACAATACATTTGTGACAATCCCTCCTACTACAGGCATTTGTGTTACCTAGTTTGATTTCTTTGTCCTTGCTCAGGGTCAAAAACTAAGTGCTCCCAAGGCTTCTGTGGGCAGCAGCGTTTACAACAGGAAACAGCCTGTTTCTCCGTGGTCACAGGCTTGTTCTAAGTAATCCTCAATCAGTTTGTATGGGGACAATTAGCACATGTTGTGGCAGTGTTCAGGGGGATGCAATGGCTTCACGGCACCTCATGTGGTATCTAGGTTCTGGAGTCCTTTTCTGCCTTGGCCACAGCCTTCACGGCACTGTAAAGGAACTGGCTGGTTTGTCATGGCCTTGCATTGAAGGCCGACAGGCCGCATGGGTTTCCCTTTTGTCAGCTGGGACGGCTCCTCAGCTTGCCTGCTTAGTCTCACCTCAACTCCTAGAGCTGAATACATGGACATAAAATCATAGAATGCTTAGGGTTGGAAGGGGCCTCTAGAGATCATCTAGTCCAACCCCCTCCACACGCAGGGTCACCTAGAGCACGTGGCCCAGGACTGCGTCCAAGCGGGTTTGGGAGATCTCCAGAGAAGGAGACTCCACAGCCTCTCTGGGCAGCCTGTTCCAGTGCTCTGTCACCCTCACTGTTAACAAAACTTTTTCTTAAGTTCACGTGGAACTTTTGGTGCTTCAGTTTGTGGCCATTACCTCTAGTTCTGTCAGTGGCCACCACTGAAAAGAGGCCAGCACCATCCTCCTCACTGCCTCCCTTGAGGTGCCTATGTACTCATGACCTATGCAGAGAGTGAGATTTGTGGGCTTAGCTAATTCCTTTAGAAAGAGGCTTTGGGACTCACAAATTCAAGATACCAGAATTCCATCAAAACTCATACTTTTGAAAAAATAAATAGGTGAAAACAGACATATCCTGAAACAGAGAGGCAACAATTACATTATACAACTGACTCCATCTATAGAGCAGCATAGAAATAAGTTGATAATTGATATTACTTCACTTTTTTAATCTGCCAAGTTGGATTTTTAAGGCCACCAAGAACATATAATCATACCGTACAGGCTCCTGCCACACATGGTAGTGGCAAAGCCAATACCTACAGATTAAAGCAAGCAAAAATAAATTTATCATAGCTATTCCAGCGTGGTATTCTGAGGTCAAGCACTATACTGAAAAAAAAAAATTGGCACAGTCTAACTCCAAGCACTCAAATGCACAAAGATCAGGTCAATTCTAACTAGCAAACCAGTTATGTGAAGAAACAAGTGGAAAAAAGAACCGGCAAAGGCAACAGAAGGGATGCAGTCCTTACCACTCCACAGGCACACATGCCTCTTGATAGCTCATAAGGCAGTCCTTGGAGTAAAGCATCACAGGATGAACTAACCCTCCTTTTAAGTCCCCCCACAGTCAAAGTTAATCAAAGCATGATAAACTGTCTACCTGAAAAACTACTCAAAAGATATTATGACCAATTCAGGAGACTTTTACCTGCGCAAAGAATCAAGTTTTGAAAGCTAGAGGCATCGTGACATTAATAACACTGAAATAGGAAGTGAAAAATGACTCAAAACCCACATGAAAGGTGATACTAAGCAATAAGAACTTGACTTTAAGAAAAAAAGTGATTACAAATAGTTATAGGCACCAAGCACAGCACAAGGAAGCTGTGGTTCACTCTTCAATCTACTGCCAGAATAAATACACATTTGCATTAGCACGAGCAGCTCAGTAGGTTAATTCAAACACTTTTTCAGTGGTTGAGATCACACCTATGCATTTACTGGAGAGTTTAGCCCTAGACATTGAGATTTAGGAAGGACTTAAGCCTGCGTGAGAAGCATTTCTAGCCCTTGCACTATCCATCATTCCTATCACCTTGCACATCTCCACAGCTCTCCAGCGTGGGGAGCCACACATCCACGCAGCCTCCAGCCTCTGCTCCTGCTGTTATGGATCTGCATCATGCCCCTAGCATAATCCCTAGGTGTTCATTACGTATCTCCAATAAAGGTTATTTTCCCAATTTACACACCAACTCCTCTAAGTTCTTTCCAGCTACAGTACATATGTTAGGGAATCAGTGGCTGTTTTAAAGCCATTTGTTTTCACACCAGAAATCAATCTGGCAGTTTAAACATGTGCTTGGAACAAATATGCAGCCTGCTCAGATTCGCCAACCCCCTTGGGTATATAACAACATATCAGCAGAAGAGTGTCAGATAAAAAGTGGATTTCAACCCAAGGCTAAGTATCACCTTCCTTCCTTCAAGAGAGTGCGGATGCGGATACAGAAAAGCTTTTGGACAAGCCATGCACTCTGCTTGGATGAGGAAGCGCAGGAATGTTCTGCAAGCTCCACTCCCCTTTCCAAAAGACCTGCAAGGGTCACTCATGAGCAGTGCAAACTAAAGCTACAAAAGTCATGCAAGACAGACAAAATACAAAGACATCCTTACCAGCAAAAGGTAAGGAGGACAAGAAATTTCTTGGCTTTCCATGCAATAAAGTCCTAGGGAAGCTAGGGATTCACAAAGCCTTCAAGCTAACCAGTTGCCAGAAAGACACCTCATTTCCAGACCCACACATTGCTCTGTATAGTTGATAAATACATGGCCACCATAATTTTGGATTTAACTTCAATTCAGCTCCCTGACCAAGCTCACTTTCACTGAATGCCTGCAGGCCACATACAGCCAAAGCAGCATAAAAACCTACTTGTCTCCTCCATATCACTGTCAGTTGAGCTGGCCTCACTCTGAACCTATGAAACCTTCTCAACATCAGTCACTGGCTTATACTGATTTAGTGGAAATGGGCTGTTCCACTTGTGTCCCACTTCAGCCAGTTGTTATCAATTAATAAGAACAGCTCAAAATTGCCTGGGCAGTAGAGGGTATCAAGCTTCCTACAGGACAGAAGCCAAAGAACACATTAAACTTCCTCTCTTCTCAAGGCTTTATTCCCCCCCCATCACAGACCTCCCTCTGATGAGCCAAAGACCCCAGAGATACTCCAGTGAGAGATGAGTGCTGGAGAGGTCTTGTTTGAGAGACAAATAGATGCTGGACAGCCAGTGAATCTGGCATCTGGCTGCACAGTTGCAACACTGGCTAAAAACTTAAGAGGAAGAGATTGGTAGAGACAACTAAAACAATAATAGTTTCAGATGTGTGACTACCTAAACATCATCTTATGAGAAGAAAATGCCTCTTAAGGCTCTTACAAGCCTTAGTTTTGAACACTGGCAGACAGTTTGCTGCAGACATCTTCACAAAGCTACTATTTCTTGACCCAATGAGGTCTTAGAAGTTAAGAAACTGCTTGAAACTTTTCTAGCAGTTTTACACAGTAAGGATTTCTAAACTTTTAGGCAAAATACCATTCAACCTTGAGCATTTCAGATCCACACATCTGGGGTGACAGTTAAGCTTTGTGGGCCACCAAATGATCCCCAGGCAAGATTTTGCAATGAAATCTGAAGGCTAGCTCTTCTCAGAAATTTAGCCACAAGTTTGATTTTTCAAAGGAAAAAAGTCACTGAATTAAAGACAAAGTGTTCAGATTTATTTGGAAATTCACAGTTTCTAATAGCACTACAGCTCTGTAGTTACATACTCTTGTTCCACAACATGGTGTGCTGCACTCAGGTGGTACATCTTTTCCTCATTTGGGTTTGAAGCCCTTTCAATTTCAAGTTCAACAAATCCAGTTCATGTGCTCTGACTGGCTAATTGTGCAGATCAACTCCAAAAGTACATCACCTTAAAGGTATTCATGAACTAACAAGAAAGCAGCAAAAAAATAAAGGCTTTAAATAAGTCACATTACATACAATACCCAGGAAAGGCATTAGATCTGTTAAAAAGGGTATCACTAAAAGTGCTCAATAAGTTAACTTATTTTTACAACGTGAACCTCTAAAAATCTCTCAAAAGAAATAACCTTTTGTTCCACTCACTCTGATCCACATTCAACATTTTAGCACTCATTCGATAATATCCAAATATACAACCACAAAATAAAAAAAACTCAGATATGAAAATACCAACCATACAAACACTGCACATTTGTTAGCCAATGCAAAAGCAAACGTTATGGAAATATCCACTTTAAACAGACCTGGCTGGTTAGACTTCAAAACTTTGCAAACTCTACACACATGCAGTGCTGGCTTGGAATATTAGCCAGCTCCAGCAGCGCGCACTCACATTTTTAGGCCGAGCCTTTATCTGAACTCTTTCTGTGCTAAGAGTGAACAATCCCCATTCACCTCTTGGAGGACTACAGCAGTCGGTCCAGGTAACAAGTACACATTCACAAGCATCACTTCCTTTTGTATATAGGAAATCCTGAAGAGCAACTGTCACTGGTTTAGTACAGACTACAGTTCTGATTTGTAACTGAAGGTGAAGGTGGAAATAAATGTAATCACAATCCCAAGCAAGTTTTCTTCCTCAATCGAGTTTGCAAAGCCTGAATCTAGTCAGGCAAGTCCATCTATTAGCATTTTTACAGTATCCAGTCCACATTGAGTCCAGCTGAAGGCCAACACATGTCCCTTTACAGCACTGTAGTGTTGCATCTTCAAAAAAAGCTAGAGAAATTACAAAATAAATCAAATGACAAACAATTTTATCTCCCCTCTTCCAGTGGCATTATAAATAGACAAAAGGCACATAAATATGGGAAGGTGCAAGAAATAGGAACAAAGCTAAAGGAAGAGGATTAGGCTTTTATCCCTATTCCACCCAACAAACTGGGTTTCAAAAAATCTCTGCCCCAGGAATTGTGAAAAAAAACCTTTATAAAATGAACCCTGCCCTCCCTCCCCCCAAGATGTTCTCATAGGAAATTATCAGCCTTGTAAAGCTGCAGCTTACAGCCAAGATTGACACAATCCCATCTATTTAAAAAGGCAGAAACCAAATTTCTGAATACTTTCCAATTACTTGAGCTCTTTGTCTCCCATTAGCCTCCCACAGAATACCACAGACTGTTCTCAAATGAACAAACACTCTCCTGTTTGAGAAGTTCAGCTAGTTTTAGATGTGTCCAGAAACAGCCGTGACACCAAGAGTGCCCACTGTTATATCTTTGTTTCCTTTGATTATGTCATGCAGGCTTGGCATTGACCCTGACTTAGTCTGTATTAGAGTTTTTATGAGCTTCCCTTGGTCTGAAACTTTTGACCGTCTTCGTTTTATAGCCCTCTTCTCAGTTTTTGTCTTTTGGGTCTGTCCGTTGCACAGACTCGTACAAGCTGAAATGCCACAAAAATAGGACTCCTCAGACTGCGACGAGGTTTCTGAGCTTCCTTCAGATGGAGGACCCTTATACGAAGAGTGATAAACTTCCCCGATATTAGAGAAGTCCCTCTGGTTCGTGAACGGCTTCCTTCCTTTAATTTCCCCATTGGCTATGGGATGCAGAGGCTCTGCTGTCGGCTTGATAGTCTCTATCTTGTCACTTCTGTATTTACAACGCTTTTTCTTAAAAAGCACAAGTAAAAAGAAAAGAACAGTTAGCTTCTGGGGCAAGCAAAGGGTTAAAAAAAAGGAACTGGCAGAGCAGGGGGGTAGCTGGAACATGCTCCTCCTGCTGCCAGAAACACACTCAGGCTCAGCTTGCCTGTCCCACAACTACTTTACCTTCTTCTCTGGGGAAAACTTGAGGGGTTCGACAATGTACAGGTCCTCTGGGTCCACTGCAAGAGGAGCGATAAGAGTTAGCAGTCCTACCTGACACTTCCAGCTCTAGAACGCCACGATTTAAATAAGCAATATCATGACAAAATACTCCACTCTTCCGCACACAGTTGTGCTCCCGTTGTAAGTGCATGGGACACAACCTATGCACACTGAAAATGAACTCAACGCTTTGAGGAACCTCCCTGTGCTGTCATGGCAGCTGTCAGGAGCACGTACTTGAAAACAACCGATCTCCTGATAGGTTAGATAAGGCTATAGATAAGTGGAGAGAACATCGTCTGGGGAAAGAAAGTGTTCTGCAGAAGTTTACTTTTTCCTCAGCTTTAGCTCATGCCTGCTGCAACATTTTCTCAGTTCAACTCATTTTTCATGTGGTTTTATTCACAGCACAAAGCCTGAATTAGGTTTGCTGCATCTAGAAATACAGCGTTAACTACTTACACGGTAGTTACTAGAATTAGGTTTTGTATGATGAAGGCTTAAGAAATCAAAATTCAGTTGTCCCAAGTTGAACATGAATATTCAACAAATTAGAACACTCCCCATGTCCAGAGTAACTGCTTTAAGTTTCCTTTCTACAGCTAAACTCAGATCCCTTGACATCTACTGAGCTTTAAGACAGATGACTTCTCAGGAGGAGAACACTGACCTCCCAAACTTGACAATCAAATATATCTACTTCCCCCCCACCCCCAAACTTCACAGCTTTGTAAAGCTAAATGCCCACGTGCACTGCTATTAACCCTAAGAAGGCTACATTATATACTCTGGACACTAATTCAGGATTTAATTACCTTTTAGCACAATATGGCTAGACAATTGCCATGTTTGGACTGGTGCATTTTTAAGTTGTGTTCACTGAAAACCAAGCACCTGCATGGACACTGTTAAGTGTCTGATAACTTGGCTTTAGACTCCACTGGCTAACAGAACACAAGCAAAGCTGAGGTCACATAGTGGTTCTTTGACAGAAACCTGAGATCATATTCTCCCACACCCACAGGAACTGTTAGCTGTATATAGTATGTGTGTAACACCAGAAACTAGATGTATGGATGTACCTTCTTTACCAGATAGCTGAAAGGACTGCGATCTGACCAGTGGAAGAGAGATTCTTCTTTTCAAATTCATATCATCATAGGAAGAAAAACATCTGTGGAACAAAACCCACAACTTTAACACATTTTTCTCAGAAATTTATCATCTTTTTCCACTAAGAAGCACAGGGGGAGCTAACATGATCAGCCATTGACCAAGGAGTTCAAAAAAGCCAGGAAAATAGACAGAACTTTGCAAAAAGCTATCAAGGCAAGCTACCAAGGTAACATTCCAAAACACTACCATGGCTTTGGGAAAGCTAAGCTTTAGTAACTGGTTTTGGCTATCAGTCCCAGGGTTCGCGCTTGCAGAAAGATGACCCTTAGGACTAACACAGGCATGACAGTCCATGGATTTAGGAACCACTAACAAGTTGAAACAATAAAGTTTAAAATACAGTACCTTTTGGGGCTGGGATAATTATTACTTTTGGGAATTTTTGAGAGGTAATCTCCACAGAACTGAGAGGTGCTTCTGCAGCGCTGCGCACACAGCACCAGGCCCAGGATGACACAGAGAACCAGAGAAATCACAAGGTAGGTTTGCCTATCAGAAACCTGAAATAATTTTATACAGTTGTTAAAGACAAGAATTACTTAAAAGTAATATTCCAAAAATGTAACTTTAATTATAGCGTAACTGACACGTTTTCAGATCAGCTTTCTTAATCTCACTTAATCACATCATCTCTTCCTTAATCACACCATTTTTCAGAGATTTGATTTAAACCACTGGCCATTTAACAGGTGAGATTAAAGTCTGAAAACTAACACAGGACAAGATGCCACTGATTGAGATACCACCGTAATTTATAGAGATACTTTGCATTGGAGGAGCATACAAGCTTATGCAAAATTAATGCACTTTTCGTGAGAAAGTATCTTCTCTGCTTGCTAGAGAAATTCTTGAAGAGATTTACCTTTCACCTCTCGTTTTAAAGACTTTTAAAGTGACAATTATGGAATTTGCCATACATAAGTCAGTGGTTTTTTCTTGCTTGTGTTTGTTTAAGAATAATTTCACAGTGCACTACTACCAATTTCTATGCAGCAAGGAAGAAATACTACACTACCCTGAATAAGTTACAATCTTTTATCACTACAGAAGACTACAATAATCGGGCTAGTAAGGCTATAATAGAAGTTATTTTTAAAAATTTTGCTGAGAACAATTTAAGCCACTTGGTTTTCAGCCTATTTTGGTAGCTGGCCAAGAAAGGGAGAAAAAGCAATAATACTGGCACCTTCCCAAACATTAAAATTCATTTTTAAACCCTCGGCCTCTTTGAATTAAGATATATCTATGCATCTGTCTGCCCTGCCCGAGTTCCCATGCCACATTGCAGAATTATAATTACCTCACGCTTTAATTCCGTGACAGTTGTTGACAGATTGGAAACCAGCTGTGTCATGTTGGTCAGCTGAGCTTGTAACAGCTGAATTGCATCTGTTTGCCGCTGATCCTGTATGAAAACATTCATAGTCACGTTGTTTAGCTGTCAGGATGCCAATATCATCTACTCTATGTACCAAGTTAGCACTATGTGACAGTCAGATATGATGTAGCCACATGACCTATTTACAGTTCAATAGGATGTCCAAATAGTGTCTTAATTCAACATTCCCTTCAACACATTTTTTATACAACAGTATTTGAAATTTTAACCGACACCTGTGTATAAAGATAAAACAATACTACTAAAAGCCCTCAACAGTTCTACTTCATTGAGCAATCTTTTTGCAACTTTATGTAAAGTGTGTTTGAGTACAGCAACTTCTACCATCTCTGGAGGCAGAATAAGCAGGCAGCTCTATGCAACTATTATCAGAAAGTTCTGAGTATGGCCATATTACAGTGTACTTGTAGTTCATGTGTTTTTATTTTTGTTTTTAACTTGAACTACACTTCCAACTGCAAATCGGGCATAAGCCATTACTACACTGCTCTCTTATTAGAGACTATGTCTCTTCAGTTAGACTAATGAAGTGCTCATCCAGCTATACTATATCAGAGTAGCAAGACAAATTAAGTTAAATTAGTTAAAATAGTTTAAAAAGTGGTTCTGAATAAAGATTTTTTAAATACATCATTCTAATCTTTCCTAAAAGAACAATCCATCTTCAATCCTTCCTGAGCAGCAAAACCCAGTAGTCAAAACTAGCAGTCAAACAAGCCATACCTGCTCCTCTGCTATTCTTGAGGTGTTCTGAAGTTTTATTATAGTTTTATTGAAAGCCTTCTGCATTTCTTCCATTTGCTTTCGATACCTAAAACAAGAAGCATGTAAAGGTCAGAAGTGCTAGATTCATCATAAAGCTCCTCAGCATTAGACTTGTCACTAGAGAATACTACTACATAAGGCTTTTCTTTGCCTAAAGCAGCATTATTTAAATTGTGTGGCATTGCTCTTCAAGTTTCATACATAAAGCAAAAAATCCATGTCTCTCTGGTGTTCCTACTGCCCCAAGGTCGAAGAGAAAGATTTGCTTCAATACTTAAGATCTGAGCTTTAATTTACTGGAATTCACTATGGAGCAAATTCACAAGCTATTTGACTGTCAGGAAAGACACCTCAGAAGTTAACAAAAGAGCCTTCCCTTGGAGTCAGTTCTGAAAATGGTACGTTTCCTCTGTGGTTAGTGAGCACAACAGGCAAATATTAACAAATATAGATCCCTCACAAAGTTCTGGTTTCCCCCTCCATGCCCTCAAGAGCAGTATTACAGAACACAATGTTTTAGGTGAAAAAAATGAGTTTGGACAGTTCTGAGAGACTTTATAGATATGTGTCGTTCAACAACAGGATGTGACTGACCTTCTGCTGAAAGGATTATGGAGCAGGATTATTGCTTGCATCCAGACAATGCCTCCCATCCCTCTATGAATCAAACCAAAAAATCCACCACCTGAACATACAGATGTGTTCCTTCGCACAAAAATAAGACGGATAGTATCATGGAACACAGGAAGGAAATTCTTGTCACCTGCAAGCATCTTGGCCTTTAGCAAGTTCAGAAGTACATACTTCTCTGGGTTTTTCATAAAGCTTCATGCACACACACTTCTTTCAGTAAAGGGTTATATCGTGTTTACATATAGTAGACTTTTCCTAGCCTTCCTCAGACTTACCTCTGACTAAGTTCTTCCAAATAACGGCTGCTGAGAGACATATTTACTTCCAGGGCTTTAATGCGATTATTAAGTCGCATAAAAACAGACTCCTTCTGATTAGACCCATGCACAAGATTTCCATTAGCATAACTTAGATCTGTTGAATTCTGCAGTTCAGCATAGAAGTCTGTAGCTGTTCTCTGTTGTCCTCCAGAAACTGGAATTGCCATAAAAGCATCTTCAGTTGCCTGATCCTCCTCCTTTATATCAGCAGATACAGGAGACTCAACAGTAGAGACCACAGGCTTCTGCACTTCTGGAGTGCTTTCTTTTCCTTCCCCAACATCACTGGCTAAGGTGCCCATTGTATATTCAGGCTGCAGAACAGTCTCTGTGGGCTTTGAAATTGCTGGAATAGCTGCAGTCTCTCCTGTGCTCATCTCCTTTACTTCACTGACAACACTGGTCTCTGAAGCTAAAGGTTTTTCTGCAATAACAGAGCTCACAGCTTTCTCTGTTTCTACACTAATCTCAGTTACATCCACCTGAGGAGTCACAGTTGGTGCTACATGGCCTCCAGCTTCTTTTGCTGGTTCCAGTGACATTTCTGTTGTTGCCGATGGCTTAACTTCAGAAGTTACTTCTAAGAGGAGAGATTGAGAAAGAGTTTGAGGATGGCTTGGTTCCAGTTCAATAGCATCTGTGGTCTCATTTTTCATCTCCTCATAGACCGCACTGCTAAAATCACTTGCAGCAGTAGATCCAGATGGTCTCTCAGTAACTTTGCTGTCCAACTCCTCAGGCAGAGGCTCATCTACTGAAGTGGGTATAGACTCAGGCAGAACAGCCTGGGGCTGATGAACAGCAGAATCATCTTGCTCTTGCTTGCTTTCACTTTTACTGTGTTGCCGATGGAGGGCTATTATAACTGAACACCATTTATACAGATACTCTGAAAAGGTAGAAATGCAACATATTGTTGTCATGTCGTAGCAATACGTTTGTGTTTCAAGCTCAAACCATGCTGATGCTTCCTCGTCTTGATCATCACTGGGCAGCAAGGTCACTGTTGACTGACTGGCATCTTCTTCATACTCTTGAACTAGCTGCACAATGGGACTTTCTTTTGTCAAATCAACAGTTAATTCCTCTTTATCTATTTGGGGAATATCTGTAGTTACAAGTCTATAAAGAAAGAATTAAAGACAGGATGTTAATTTGACAGTCTTTCTTACTACTCTGGAAGCCTACAAAAGCAGGCTATTTTAAATAATTATCAAAGCTTCTATCAGTGACCAAATGCCAGTTCCCACATCTTGTAAATTCTGTAAGTTATTTTTGCTAGTGCATTTTCATCCCGATGTGCCATCCAGTTATTTCGGCCACAGTTTCTGAAACATCAAGCCTTCTGAATTCGATATTCCCCCTTCTTTCGAAAATTCCATACTGGCATATTTGGTCTCTGCTAGAATCTCCTTTAAAAACATACCAATCACTTACTCTGGTGAAGGAACAGGAGTTGGTTCAGGCAGTCTTGGTGCAGATGTTGAAGTTGCAGGAGTGACAGTAACATTTTCAGATACACTTTTGTTCCCTACTACAGAACACAAAATGGAAGACATATATATATATATATATATATAAAAGACTTCAAGGAAGCACTAACAAAACACTTTAATATTTAAGCTTCCTTCCACATTTCTACCATTTCCTCCATACCATCCCCTTTCCCCCTGCCATCCCTCTCCTCTGTTTAGATGATTAACTGCACTATCAAATTAACAACGGCAGGTCTCCAATTACCTGAACAAATATGCTAATTATGGTTTGTGTATAAGATTTTTTTGGACACGGGTTAAAAACATCACCAGAATGTAACTGAATATATTTTTACACCTATTCTCCTTTTAGTGAATTCAGCATCTTCACTTCATGTTTTGCAGGTAATACAGTTAAGAATTCTGTGGCAATAGCCAAACACTTATGCCATGGAAGAGTGTGACGAAAAAAAAAAAAATCAAAATAAAACCACACATTTTAACTTATCTTCTGTGAAATTCTTCACAGAAAATTGAAGCATGCAGATCATAAAAAAAAAAAAGATGACTTTCTAGAAAGTTCACCACTTAAAGAGTACCTTCAGCTTCAGAAGTCTCTTCAGTTTTGGCTCCAAGAATATTAGCAGCAATATTCACCATATTTAGAATAGCATCTGAAATAGAAAACAACTGATCAAAGATGACATATGGAGAGATCTCAGGAATTAGCACCTCCAGGCAATTTGCTCTTATGCAATACTTCCTTTAAATGAATCAGAACAAAAACATTGAAAAAGCAATCATTCTGTTACACTGAATGCAATCTTAAAGAATTATGGATTTTCTGCTTATGAATAGCCTAGAAACCTGTATTTGAAAACACCATCTCATCTTTACCAGTCACAATCTGGCGAAGTCTTCTTAGTTGGCTTCTAGATAGCTAAAAAAGTTTATACCACCTGCTTCAAGTGTAAATATTGAAAGAAAAAAAAATTCCAATACATAAGATTCCCTCCCTTATAGTAATACTAAAGGTATCATACTAAAGCTGCTTGTAGCAGCTAGCCAAAGTTTCCCCAGCAGCTCCAAAGAGGTACATACTTGCACTTCAGTGCCCATCTCTAGGCACTGCCTTAGACTGTGCTGTACGTAGGGTTTGCCTGAATTAGCTTTGGCAATCGCTATACGAAGGAGATGCTTGCTCTCCCCATACAGAACTCCCTCGCAGAAAGAAAATGCAAGGATTTCCAGTGTATCTACACCACGACAAGCCTGTATTATCAGGCTAAACCATCTAACACCAAGACAAGAAGTGATGGGAAGTACTAACTCATCATTACACCACAGAAATCAAGGAACAATTCAGTTGCCGAACTGCCTAGCAATCGAAGTGAACAAACAAGGGAGGGTTCCATGACAAATTTCCATCTCAACCTTGAGAAACTGACAGACACGTCATTTGTTTGTCTGATCTCCCATTTCTTGGGTACTATTACATCAGGCTCATTTAGAAATTAAATGAGGAGCAGGAGAAGAGCACCTTCCTGTAAACAGGCATACATGAGTCAACTCTGCCCATTCCTCTGCCACCTGTCAGCACACACTTACCATACATCAAATGGATAAATTCATGAAGTTATAGAAAAAACATTTTAGTAGTATTGCCAAAATTCTTGTCTTAAACTTAATGCTATGTTTCCTTCAAAATACTTCAAAAGCTACATTCCTAAACTGTATTATTTATGCAAGCATTTATGCTTTGACTTACCATCCCCTTGAGAAGAAAACAGAAAACATTAACCTGAAGTACTCATGGCTTGCCATCATTTATGGGCAAGCAGGGAAAGAAGGGGAGTTAAGATCTGGTAAAGCAGCTTGCCAATCTGTAAGAATTTGCAGTGAGAGACGCAGGTCACCATAAGGGCAGACTTCAAAAACATTCCTAGGGAATAAAGATGCCCGAGAAGCACATAAACCTCTCTTCAGAGGTCCCTTACTGCATATCACTCACTCTTTAAGGCAGAAGGCTCAAAACAGACATCTGTCATTTGTTGAAACACATTAAAAACAAACTTGGATTTCAAAAAAACACTAGAGATGAAAGATTCACTAAGGAAAGCCCAGTAACAATATCCACAAGGCAGCAGAGCTGAGCAGTGAGCACTGCAGCAGCTATCACTGCAATGCTCAGTGTTCAGCTGTGCTTCTAAAGCACTGCTAGTATCATGTGTCAGGTCTGCTGATCCTGTTTTCAGTAGTCCATAGCATTTCTCAGACAGTGAACAAAATTACCATATTGTAGGGGTAGACAGAACATGCAAATTACTTCTTGACAGAAACTTTGAAAAGCCTCAGATAAAAGCTGACACAGGGCTTTCTCTCATCAGTGAAAGGCTAACACTGAGAAGCAAACTGCCTTTTGGTGCTGCCTATTTTAGCTCAGCAGCAAGCTTCCTAATAAGCCATACTCACTTGTAGCAGAACCAAGGAGGTTTTTTGAAGATTTTTCTTCTCCTGTATTGTAATCCAACAGATAGTCTATTTAAAGAAAAAAAATATTTAGGAGTATCAAAATTAGATGTGCTACATCAAAAAATACAACCCAAAATTTAACAAGTTTTTCAGCCACAAATGAGACTACAGAAATAAAGTCAAGGATGACAAACTGATCAAGCTCTAGAGAATAAGCAATCCGAAGAGATTCAGATTAAAGTTTCCATTTCCCTTAGATTTAAGAGACAGATGCAGTAAACCACTCCCAAGGTTTACTACAGAATTTTTCCCCCCTCCACTACAAACAAAAGGCATGAGCTATTCAGATTATTTTAGCTATTGTTCATTACCATAAGCACATAAGATGTTTGTGCCTAACCAGGCAACTGAAATTCAGGTTTAATATTAGTGTTTTGAAGCAACCTCCCAAATTGCCTTATTACACAAATAACATTAGTTTAAAACTTAAAAGAATGCATGGGTAAGTTGGAAGGAACACTAAAAGCACACACTAGTCAACTAGTGCCATAAAATTACTTGATATAACCAACAGATGAGCAAGAGGTAATTAGCTTAACATTTGTCTTCTGTTAACTTTGATCAAGCAGCTCATTTTATGCACATACGCTTTTGGAGCCTTTTCACAAACTTCTATCCAGAAAGTCTGTTGCAGCTTATCAAGGGCCGCTCCAAAGCGAGACCCTGTTCCTATTTCAAATACTTCATAACAGACTTCTCTTATGTGAGGTCCCCCCTGGATCTCAATTTCTGAGCTTCCTGTGTGCTCTTAGTTTCTCATCTTCACTTAGATCAAGAAAAAAAAAAAAGAAAAGAAAATCCTTCTACCTGACTACAAATGCGATTTTCTCTTTGACCTGCTCTGTTGGACTACAATGTTTTAAATAAAATTGTCTTGTCAATTGAAAAGATGTTTTGCCTTACAGTGCTAGATTACTTGTGTTCAAGTCCTGCCAGAGCTTTGATAACAGAATCAAAATTGGATTTTAGGAACAGCAGAGAGGCCAGTCATTCTGTTATTCTGATTCAGACACACCAACTATTATTGCAAATAGGTACCTGGGGGATCATGCACCACAGTGGTTTATGAAGAGCACAACACCACAGCACCTGCTCCTATTAGTGTCTCACATGCTCCTCCTTTTGCTGCGTCAGTCTCCAGATGCTGGTATTCTGCTGTGCAGCTGCTGGCATTCCCATAACTCCACTCCCACCCAAAAACAAACTGTTCCTTAAAAAAAAGTCTTGATTTTTCCAAAATTTTTTTTTTAAAACAAGTATGACGCATGCTGTGCAACAGGTAATTTATTCAACTACTTTGATTCACAGCATTTCCAACTAACTTAAAACACCAACTACTAGAATTTGTTTTCCAGTTATTGTTAGAATACATTAGTCCACAGTGCAAGGAGGCAGAAATACAAAGCAAAACACTTAAGTTATTACCTTATAAGACTTAAAGGACAAAAGTGTTCTGATCCAAAATGTGATATCAACTCCACCTAAAAAATAAAAAGTACTTCAAGATCTACAGAGCTAAGAGTCCATTTAACATATGCATCCAATTTTGAATTTGCAAGCTATGTTTGCTTAAGGGATTTGCAGAATGCCCAAACAGAAAAGATCTACAAGCTTTGCTCTTGTCATGCATTTGAAAGCTTTTCTCTTGCCATGCATTAATGTGCTGGGCCACAGCAGAAAACACCCCAAGCCCTAAGCATGCAGCATTCCACAAGAAGATGTTTCTAACCTTTATGTACTTGATGAACATCTGAAGCGAGAGAAAGGAAAAGAAAAAAATAGATGTCAGTACAAAGGCTGAACACATGCCACAGGCAACTACAGAGCCTTACTGTGTTTTTAACTCAGTACTACAAATACCTAAGGTAATAAGTTATGAAGGATAAAGTTGTATTACTCCTTGATCTGCCTTAGGTATCCATGATTTCATTTAGTCCTCATACCTTGCAGATATAAGGTAACATGCAAGGCAAGTGTTTTATTAATGAACTGTCAAGTCTTTTTTTTTTTCTCCTCGGGGGGAGGGGGCAGCCCTGACACCAGACAGTATTGAAGCTTGTTAAATTCACTAAGTACAATTCTCTTCCCATCCCCCAAAAGAGTAAAGGCTAAAGTGACTCAAGAGAAAAAAAAAAAAAATCTAATTTCACAGCATGCATTCTGTGCACTGCTGCTGCTTTAAGCTCAAACAAACATGTTCCTGGTTACAGAAACACTTTTGAAAGAACCAGTGCAGAGCATCTTACAACACATTTGGTAGTTCCATTCATCAGTATATTTCTAGTGAGAACCTGCTTACCTGCTTTATTTAATATATATTAAATACGCGCACGTAGACTGCATTTATTAAACTATGTGGACACTCACAATGAAGGACTGTACTAATTTGCAAGTGAGATCAAGATAACAATTTCCATGAAGTAATCCATACAAAAAAATGCTCAGTTTTATTACAATTCAGGTAAGCCATTTCAAACCATTGGAGAAATTGTGGATTGCTCTACAGGCTTGCTTACTTTTCATTCCATAAAGCCCAAGTGTTATAATAATGGTCCTTCAAAAAGTTACCATGCTGTATTAAAGGCAGAACATCACATCCTCAAGGGAATTAAGTGCTGAAATATCTAGCATACTGCTGAAACTCAGTGACAGTCAAGATTCTAGCTACCTTGAAGCATTAATTCAGCCAGAAAGCAGAATTGAAAGCAAAAATATAAAATATTTATCTTTGACTTGCAGACTCATGCAGAATTTCTGAGTATAGATGTTAAACAGATAATTATTATTCACAGCCATCTCTTGAAGAAAGTGCAAACCTCAGAGTAGCATTTTTTTTTTTTTTTTAAAAAAAAAGGCACCACAGTTGCAAGATAATATCTCACTGAGGAAGGCTTAAAAGCTCTGTATTTTATGTGAACTTAAAGCTCTAGTACATGTCAATATTTTCACAAAAGCTTTTAACCCAGTCCAATTGCTACATTATTCATGGCATTTTATTCTCTTCGAGTAAAGCTACTTTGCTACAAGCTACTTTGAGGAAGAGATCACACAACAAGTATAAGTCAGTCATCTTTCCAGGGAGGAAAAAACTCAACTTTAGTAGCTACCACACTAAAGCACAGTTGCTTTCCATTTCAGTTCTCCTAACTGTCACAGAAAATGAGAAAGGCACTCACAATCATACTTCTTTATTGCACTGATGCTTGTTTTAACAGATAAGTGGATACATCAGAAAAGGTGTAATGGCTCTCCTCAGAGAGGTTGCTCTAGAAGGCCAAGCAGTGGAAGGCAATTTTACCTTCACCTTAGTACACAGAGATGCATGCCTTTCTTCCTCATCTCTTCCTTAAATTAACATACACATTGAAAACCTTGCTTTTCTTAAGGAATGGCTTGCAAACTACACACGGCAGGATGCAGCACAGAAGTAGAAAGCACGCACGCTATAATCTGTGCTCCAGGGAGTAAGGGTTTAAACAGATTACAAGTGACTTGAACATAGAGTCATGTAGTGTGCATTTAAATAAATCTGAAGAGGCACACTTGTGAAACTTATACATTAAAATAGAGACACCAGATTTTATTTCTAGGTGTATAAAACTTCATTCACACATATGTATGTGTAGTGGTAGGTATAGCCAAGAGAGAAAATAAGTTAATATTTTAAACTACCCCTGAAGAATTCTAATTAATTCTAATTCTTATTAGAATTATTTCAAATACAGCTTATTGTATCTGATATTGTCTAGATTCTTCTTAGTTCTTGTGTATTTGGACACAGGGTAAATGCATGCTTTCCATCCTGCCAGTTACCACTAGAGGAAGCTAACACATTTGTGACTGACCATACATTTAACTGTTGTTCCCCAGTCACCTTAAAGCGATGCAAAAACTAGTGCAACTAGTAGTAAAGCATGTGCTGATTCACAGTCATCTCAATACCCTGCTATGTAGGGCACAGTTCAGCAAACATCTCCTTTCCCAAGAAGGATGGAATGCTTTTGCAATAGAAAGTTACCTTCACATATTTTGCATACATCTGTTCATCTAGAGGAAAGCTTTGGACATTTCTCTCATCTCTGGCATGGAAAGTACCTAGTTTAATCCATTTGTTTGTTGGATACCTGAAAAACACAATACAGTCAGCTGACAAAATTCAAGTTTTGGACTCCGCTGCTTACAGACATCGGCTGAGGCTCTCAAAACACTTCAAAGAATTATTTTTCTTTTTTTGTGACATGATTGCTGCAATGTCTTTAATGGTAATGTTGACAATGTGCAAAGAAAACGCATGTCACAATGCATTATATTTTGCAAAACTACAAACATACACAGCTCATTTTGTGAGGTCATCCATTTAGTAATTGATTCCATTTAATTTTCATTCAGAGGGTCACAATAATAACAAATAAAAGTTGTGACTACATACCTGTCACTGATGGACACCAGAAAGTCTTTAGGAGTGGAGGAGAACAACTCATGATTTGCAATGTCAAGTTGCTTTACTTGGATTGGCTCACAGAGCTCAATAACAAACCTTGAAGACGAATAGAAAATATATATTTTTAAAAGCACTTCACCCTGTGCAGTTGCACAGTATCGAAGTATCAAAGAACACTACAGAAATCCTGCACAATGACATTGCTTGTTGTTTTTTCCCCCCCCTTCAAAGTCATTAGCATTACCAGTGTACCTATCTTAACAGCTCTAGGTGCTATCTAAAGTTTAAGAGCTTTATCCTTCCTATTCTCAAATGCAACACATCACAGAACTGAAAAATAAAAGTCACAAGCACATTTAAACCACACCTGAAAGACCAGTTAGCAAATGGTAAATTCCAGTGACACAACCTACGGCATGAATCAATTCTTTACTCGAACGCTTAGTGCTTTATCTTCTGCAGGATTATAGTAATAACATTCAAGTGGTACAGTTAGAATGCAATTATGAGGTAACGTATATGCTGACAATGCTTGTTAGGTTGATATATTCCCTGCTAACAGAGAGCAGACTGACTACACCATGCATTTAAAGAGGAGTGGACTTCTTGCTATACATTAATGAATATTGGCTATCATACAAGCTGATTATGATCTACAAGACTAGCGTGGCCTGTATCTCACAACAAGATCAAAGACTTCTCAGGAATGACAGAAGTATATCTAACCCGTTCCTAAATGCCACAACACCTTTTTCCCCTGCAACACAACTTTGCTCACTGCTCACTAGCATCAAGGGGTGGCTCTCGGGAGAGAACTAACTTCTGCCACCGTAACAACTCAAGACACTGATGCTGCAGTCACTAGGACACACAGGATGCTCCTAAGAAGAGGGACAACTCTGGCTAAATCTGGATTTACTAGAAGCTCTATTACAGTCTTTTGGGTAGCTGCCAAGATAGTAGTAATATTAGCTTGCAACTAGGAACCCCTAAAACAGATCTATACCAGTCACACAGATTCCCAGGTAAGTTTCCTATACTTCACTTCAAGGTTTGATGTCAAACAGAACTATAGTCATAACTGTCTTTTATCACAGTATCCAGATTAATTGGAAGTGATAGAACAGAGGAGTGATAAAAATGGTTATTGTAGTCTATCTCCAGGCTAGCAGCACATCAATGTGGTCAGTTTGAGATACAGATCTACTGCATGGAAATTCACTGTGCTTCAAACATCCCTCTAAATCCCTGAAAGTCAGATGTGAAGACCACAGATAACCTTCAATTTTCATGTGATCTAGGACAGGTGAAGAGATTTTACTCCATTGAATTCAGGAAATGCTTTGACATCCTCATTCTGTTTAGACGTTAAGACTATTCTTGTTACGTGCAACTGGGTCAGAATTAAATAAGAAGGTTGAACTATACAAAAATATGTAAAAATACAAATGCTTAAGTGAATGGTTAACCCCTTAATCTTACATCTTTATCAGAGGAAAAATTATATGGGTGACACATTAAAGTGTCTTCTGCTAGACTCATACATATACATTTCAGGCAGACACACACCAAGATCAAGTCAGTCCCACAGGATATACGGACTGCTGTAAGGATGGAAAACTAAACTGACTCCCGTCAGTCAAGGAAATTGCTGTAACCTACCAGATTTTGGTACTGCATGGATTTAGCATATAAAGGTCCATGTTTTCCATCAAAATAGCTGAAGTGCTCTGAACAAAAAAGAACAGTAGGAATATTTTAAATTGTACGGCAGATAACACAATGAAGTTTTTCCTCCCTCCCTCTAAAAATAAGTTTGATATTAATTTTGAAATTTGGTGTTACTGTGTAAAACTAAATGAGAATATATAGGAGACAGTATCATATATCACTTTTAGACACTCAGTTGATTTACTGCAGCTAGCCACTTAGCACAACAATATTTATAAATCCAAAATCATAATAAGTCAAACACAAAAATAAAGGAGTACTTCAGAAGCCAGTGTTTCAAGTAAGTATGCTTTGTACTGTTTCTCATGCAAGAGTAGAATAACATAGCTCACACTAACAGCGAATACTTACCTTTGCCTCTGGATTAGCTGCCAGAATTTTGGCACCACATTCTACAGAGGCATAGTTATTTCTATTTTTCTGGACCTTTTTTGTGGAATGCTGCCCACCATTAGCAGAAGGATGCATTGACTGACCTATGAAACAAGAAAAAAATTATTATAGCACACCATACTCCATTCTTCATTCCACAGAACTGCCTAGTGCTTTTGTATAATAAATGCTATAAAAGACATAGTTTTAGTACAGAAATGAACTGCTGGGCTTCATTCTGAATTCAGGTATTTTACTATTCAGATCCTAGAAAACGTTAGTGAGAAAGTTCATATTTAGGCCAAAGGAAAGAATTCTGAACTTACTCTTCTCCTTCTCTACTTCCATAACCTTCTTTTTCCATTCATCAAATGTTGGAATGTCTCCTGGGTCCTTTGGGGTCATCACAGATGTAGGGTCTATTTCTCCTGTTTTTTTGTAGTCTTTCTGCAAAAGAAAGAGCCACCACTTGGGAATGTTTCTCAATACAAACACTGAAAACAAAGATAAACCTCAATGCTCTTAAATATATATGATCAAATTCTACCCAAGTCAATAGGACACCCACCATTAAACCCATGTTGAAAACAGCTCTGGCATAAGTCAGTTCACAGGTGAGACACACATATGCTGATCTATTCCAAGAGTTACAGATTCTTTCAGTGAAGTACAGGTAGCTTTTGTTATTAAATTAATACATTTCAAATACAAAGTACTGTTTCATAAAACATAATGCTTTAAGTGTTTTGGTTTTCCTCTTCAAAGGGAAAAAAGTTTCCCTGTTGCAGAAATCTTAATATGAACATTGGTCTGTAGAATTCTATATGTCCTCCAGAAGTCATGAATAGCCCGAAAAAGCTTTACTGAAAACTGAGATGTTGTCTAACAATATTTTATTTCCTTTTTAATGACCAAAGATGTCATGTTTTGCACTTACAAATAATGCAGTAACCCTATAAAGTTAATCATAGGCTATGCCATTTCAAGCCTCAACTTTTGCTTTTTTACACATACATTTCCACATCTTTGCACATCACCAGAACAGTGAAAGGAGCATTCAGCTTGTGCTACACGTTTCAAGTGCAGCAGATTTCTTATCTTGTTGTCAAGATTTTACAGATAACATCCAGCATAATTGCCTTGGAGTCTGACTTTTTCTCTGTGCTTAGAAAAAGAGTTATTTTATATAATCAGTAATTGAAAATCCTCATAGGCATCAAAAAGACATAGTTAAGCAGAAGTGCAGCATACGACAGATCGGTGATTAATCCTGCTGCCCTTCCAGTTTGACAAACTTCAGATGACAGCACCAGAACTGGACAAAATGCTTATGGTATAAGAACTCCAAATAAATACAGTGCCAACAGAAAAGCAGAGATCACTCATTTTTAACATTAGTGATCACCTAAGAGGTCATTATGCGTACTCAGTGGACAATACCAGTGACTGCTTACCTCCCTTTTTAAGTTCTCTGAAGCATTCAAAGCAGATTTTTGTTCATCTGCCCCCTTTTCAGCAGCTGAGACTTTTGACTCAAACTCAGATTTTGTCTTCTTTCCCTTGCCATGTGAAGATGATATATTCTCTATATGCGGACCTGCAATGCTGAAAACTTACAAGTATTAGAGTCTACAAAACCATCGTATTTTTTGGTCATACACTGTCAAACACAGAGATAGGCAAGCACATGCAAATGTTTATTGCAAGGCCAGGGCAGAACAGAACAGTTACCTTTAAATTATTCAGTCTTACAACCTACTTCAATACTCACCTCTCTGCTGGACTGACAAAAGAGGAAGGCTCACTCTGAGGGTCAGCCTCAAGTGTCCCACCAATATCACAGTCAGGTTCTGACTGCTCAGCTTCACTAGAGCTGACTACAGGGGTATCAGCACGGGAATTTTCTATTGCACTGAAGGGAAAGAAATAATATGCTTTTTACCCTTCTGGTAATACAAGTAACCCTGCTAATCAACTACTAAATTAAAGATATTAAAAAAATCAACAGTCCGACAGAAATAAAGACAACAGAATACAAAAACAGATATAAAACTAAGAGGAGTATCTGACACACCAGACAGTTGTGCTGTCATTCAAAGGGACCTTGACAAGCTGCAGAAGTAAGCAGAAAAAAAAACCTAAAATTCAGAAAACGGAAGTGCAGAGTCCTGCATCTAGAGAGCAATAACTGCATGCACAAGTACAGGCTGGGGAACAATCAGCTGAAGAGCAGCTCTGGACATGGAGGTCCTTTGCTTATAAAGGACATGCGGTCATCTTGTCATTACCCAGGACCTCCAAGGCATCAAATCAAGGTGCCTTTGCAGCAAAGGCAGCAGATGGCACCCAGGGCTGCGTTAGGAAGGTTCTGCCAGCTGGCCAAGGGAAGCGATCTTTCCCTTCGGCACCGATGTAGCCACATCTGGAGCGGCGAGTCTAGTGCTGGGCTCCCCAACACAGCAGATGTACTGAAAGAGTCCAGCCAAGGACCACAAAAACAATTAAGGGACTGGAGCTTTACGCACATGAAGAGAGGCTGAGAGAGCTTGGACTATTTATCCTGGAGAAGATCATGTTGCAGGGGGGCAGACCTTATCAGTGCATATAAATATCTGAGGGGAAGGTGTAAAGAAGACTGAGATAGAAGTGCTGAGACTCTCCTCAGCACTGCCCAGCAATGAGATGAGAGGTAATAGGCACAAATTAAACCAGAGAAATCCATCTGAACAGAAGAAAACACTTCATTGAGGGTCACTGAAAACCAGAGCAGGTTGTCCTGGAAAGCTGTAGTGTCTCCATCCTTGGAGATATTCAAACACTGACCACACACGGTCCTGGGTATCCTACTCCAGCAGATCCCCTTGCACCAAAAGCTCATTCCCCTTTCACCAGGAGTTCCTAACATTCCCAAATCAGGACAGAACTTAGCTAAACCTGTCTCCTATCTCAGGAATGAAGTAGCATAACAGTATGGAGGTGAGTCAGCCTAACTTTCCTCCCACTAGATATTTCTGCTGGTGTAAAAACAGGGGTAATCCAGCAGACCAGGACATGAGTTTTATACAAAGAGCTCAAACTTGCTAGATGATCTGCCTGCTGCTTTAACTCCTCATCAGAAATGACGTTTGCTAAGAGGAAAGTCCACCTAGATGTTCTTTAGTAGTTGGAGTAGGTGGATACAGGGGAAGTCGGACAAACAGTTTGACTTGACAGGTTTCCTGCCTTCCCCAGAGCAGGGATGACTTTCACACTGATCTAGAAGGTTATTAACCAGATCTAAACAAAAGCCCTTATTCTGCCTCCTGAATTTCACCATAAGCATTCATCAGCAACAATCCAGGTTAATCCAGTACCCTGAGAGCTGCAAAATGCTTTCTTCCCCTCACAAGCATAACAGCATGCCAGCAACTCAAAAGACAAACTTGATTTTCTGACTGCTATGATCAACAGAAGCAGCAAGAACAAACAACAGGAGCCAATTTTAGTACCTTTCATATCATAAAGGTTTGGGAAGAAGAAGGGGAGGCAGAACCACACACAAGCATTCAAGACATTTTTGCTATGGAACAAATTCTAACAAGTCCTACAAATACCTAATACAGCTGGAATTTGTTACACTGATACGAGTTACCTTCCAAAACAGGAAGAATGCAGTCTAATGAAGTGCAGCCATTCCAAATCTGAATTGTTGTAGTCAAACCTCATATTCTAACTTAACAAAATACAGTATTTCCTGGATACTGAAGTTAATTTTTTCATAAAATTCACCCATTACTATTTAAAAACAAACTGAAGTTTGAGAACATAGAAGTGTGCATGTCTTTATATTCATCCTGCCCCCCCAAACATATTTTGTTTTTCACTTTCTTCCTATCTTCAATCTTTAGAGTTTACCATTCACGCTTTTCTCAATTACGATAGCAAGACTATTTTCAACAGTTACAAGATAAAAAGAATTACAGTATCTTAGAGCCAAATGTTTTAAGATTTTAAGAACTGGCAACAGTAGATTTTCATCACAGCACGCAAACAAATCAGTTCAGTAATCAACAAAAGCTGTAAAAGCCCAATCTGAAATTACACTGCAATTTTGCTTTACAACACACACGCATTTTGGGAGCCTATCTTCCAAAACTTCCAGTTAAAACATTTATGCATTTAAGCATCAAAAGATGTGCAGTTCTTAGCCCTATCAGACTAAGAAAGACTGAATAGTAGACAAGATTTGAGATCATTTCTATTGTAATGAGACTAAACTTGGTAAACTCAAAAAGTCTATCAAAAAAGTTTCTTACTACCAGAACTTATTTCAGACTGCTGCAAGTGCTGGAAAAAAAAAAAAAAGG